GGTTCGGAATTTAATAATAGTTAGTACCCGTTGTATCCCCAAACTATATCACTCAAAACCACTATTTCGGTGGTGTTTTCAATGGGTCGGTGAGAGAAAAATTACGGTAAAAATGCGGTCGTTTTCCGGTCGGAAATTAAGCGATAAGCGGTCGATTAAAAGTGGGAAGTTGGGCGAAATGATTACTGTAGTTCAAGTGATATTAGCGTATTTTTCTAATTTAGTTTTTAACTCAAACAATATTTATTTACTCACTGTTTACTATAGCTAGAGCGCTGTACGTGTCTTCATTTTCAAGTTAGTTTTTCTGCCGATTTCTCGCAACCAACAATGTGATTTTTATTTGCAATTTCGAGAAACTTAACATGAATCGTTATGGTATTTATACGCACAACACTTCGCCATGTTTCAACTTTTAAGTAGTCAGTTAACAAGGTATTTCATAGTAGCATTTCTATGGGATTGACATGGGTTCAATTATCAGTGTTCACTGATGACGTCATTTGACTATCCCTCTAGAGGCGAAATGACACCAGGAAAAGCGGACGTTTGTCGTCTGCTTCACAGCCCGTTTTATACCCGATATTTAGGGCATTTCGCAGCACATATAAGTTGTTTTTATCGACAGAATTCATTCATAGATCTCAAATTTCATGTACAGAGTGTCAAAAGCCACACCTCTGCTCCCCTTTAAGTTCCATATCTTTAAAACATACCGACATTTTTACCGTATGGCGGTTTTTGTGTTTTCTCATAAAATCCAGATTAAAACTTATGGTCACCGAACTACTTTACGCACAAAAATCAGCAAGACTGTAAAACTTTTGAAACGAAAGAATTCTTCTCGCTCTTATTCAATGAAGCTGATAAAAACGCGTAGACGCGATCACGCGATCAGTAATATACGAGAAGCAGGCACAATGTCCTGAAATATAAACCACTGCTGCACACGACAGGGTGTTCTACCACCCCCGCCTACTACTGTCACATATATTCACCGTTCCCACCACGATGAGATTTTGCGATCATTATCTCAGATAATGACGCTTAGCCGTAACGGGGGCTGATTTGGAAACCCGCTACCCATTTTCCTTTCCAGAGTTCTTTGCGGCTAGAACAGAGAACTTTGCATGGGAGATTGCCCGCTACCCTAACAGGAAGAATGGTAGAGATATTTGGTATTCACCGAGGACGGTAAAAAGATGGACTGTATCCCTTGACCCTATGTTTTTAACACTTTACTATATCATACCATGTTATGTTTTGTGAAAGTTGTACACCCCGGTCACACACACACAAATCAGTTCATATAATATCTTGTCGTTCATAGACCTACCTTGCTTTTAAGTAAAAGCGGGCGTACGCTTAGAATACATCCATGAAAAACATGTGTAATTTTCACAACAGAATCGACCTCTGAAATGGAACATGGGTAAGTATCAGTTAAGAGGTATTACTTATTACGTCTTAGGAACACCGGAAACTATCAGTTACGTCATCGAAACATCGGTAAGTATTAGTTACGTCAACCAGAACACAGGTAAGTTTTCGTTACGTCATCGCAATATCGGGAAGTATACTTGCCATTGGAATTGTCGTTATAACATTGACAGGTACTTGTTACCTCATTTGAACATTGGTAAGTGTTATTTGCGTCAATAAAAAAATATTAGTTATGTTATTGGATAATAGTTGAATAGTAGTTAAATCATAGAAATATTGGTATGTATAGGTTACGTTATTGGAACATAGTTGAATAGCAGTTAAATCAGAACAACATTGGTATGTATTGGTTACGTTATTGGAACATAGTTGAATAGTAGTTAAATCAAAGAAACCTTGGTATGTATTGGTTACGTTATTGGAACATAGTTGAATAATAGTTAAATCATAGAAACATTGGTATGTAATGGTTACGTTATTGGAACATAGTTGAATAATAGTTAAATCATGGAAATATTGGTATGTATTGGTTACGTTATTGGAACATAGTTGAATAATAGTTAAATCATAGAAACATTGGTATGTATTGGTTACGTTATTGGAACATAGTTGAATAATAGTTAAATCATAGAAATATTGGTATGTATTGGTTACGTTATTGGAACATAGTTGAATAATAGTTAAATCATAGCAACATTGGTATGTATTGGTTACGTTATTGGAACATGGTTGAATAGTAGTTAAATCATAGAAACAATGGTATGTATTGGTTACGTTATTGGAACATAGTTGAATAGTAGTTAAATCAAAGAAACATTGGTATGTATTGGTTACGTTATTGGAACATAGTTGAATAGCAGTTAAATCAGAACAACATTGGTATGTATTGGTTATGTTATTGGAACATAGTTGAATAATAGTTAAATCATAGAAACATTGGTATGTATTGGTTACGTTATTGGAACATAGTTGAATAATAGTTAAATCATAGCAACATTGGTATGTATTGGTTACGTTATTGGAACATAGTTGAATAGTAGTTAAATCATAGAAACATTGGTATGTATTGGTTACGTCATTGGAACATAGTTGAATAGTAGTTAAATCATAGGAACATTGGTATGTATCAGTTACGTTATTGGTACATAGTTGAATAGTAGTTAAATCATAGAAATATTGGTATGTATTGGTTACGTTATTGGAACATAGTTGAATAGTAGTTAAATCAAAGAAACATTGGTATGTATTGGTTACGTTATTGGAAATAGTTGAATAGTAGTTAAATCATAGAAACATTGGTATGTATTGGTTACGTTATTGGAACATAGTTGAATATTAGTTAAATCAAAGAAACATTGGCATGTATTGGTTACGTTATTGGAACATTTTTGAATAGTAGTTAAATCATAGAAACATTGGTATGTATTGGTTACGTTATTGGAACATAGTTGAATAGCAGTTAAATCATAGAAACATTGGTATGTATTGGTTACGTTATTGGAACATAGTTGAATAGCAGTTAAAGCAGAACAACATTGGTATGTATTGTTACATTATTGGAACATAGTTGAATAGTAGTTAAATCAAAGAAACATTGGTATGTATTGGTTACGTTATTGGAACATAGTTGAATAGCAGTTAAATCAGAAGCAACATTGGTATGTATTGGTTATGTTATTGGAACAAGGTTGAATAGTGGTTAAATCTTAGAAACATTGGTATGTATTGGTCACGTTATTGGAACATAGTTGAATAGTGGTTAAATCTTAGAAAGATTGGTATGTATTGGTTACGTTATAGGAGCTATGGTTTATTGCGTCATTGCAATACTGGCAAGTATTCGTTAACGTTTTCTACACATTTTGTCGAAACTAAGGGACGACATCAAATGATCGATGTCGGATAAACAACTTATTTTTGACCTCAAAAAGTTTCCATCCTACAAAAACGATTTTATTTTTTAATGACGTAAAAAAAAATGGAGTATTTGTAGTTTTTTTTTTTTATCCTATCATGGACAAAAATAGCCCAAAATGGAAAAAAAACACACATCCAAGACGAGAAAATGGTTTGGTCCGAGTGTAAATATGTGCTTCAAATGAGGTCAATTTCAGGGCATTGACCTAGAACCAACTGATATGCCATACTACTGTCCGATTATCAATTTGTATTTAATGATGTAATCTGGCGCCATGGTCAATCATATTTATCAATTAAGTTTCAGTATGGATGGGGGTTGGGGGGTTTGGGAAAAAAATAAAAGAATTAAGTTTGTTATCGTACATTGAACTTTTGATGTTGTCCCTAATTTGAATTCATTAACTTAAAATTGATATTACCCCTCAATTTGCAAAATTCCAAATCCAGTCTCCATTCCAGTACTAACACCCCTCCAAATTAAGTCCTCGTAATTTCATTAAAATTGCCCAGTCAACAATTAAATAATTCCAAGTATTTGGATTTGCACACAGCATAAAGTTTACTACTAGTCTTATTCATCCGTGTTTGATTATTAGTGTCAAAACTTACAGCTATCATGCTAGTTATTTATAATTTCGCTCAAGGTTTTGAGTTTTGTTTAATTTAGTACACGCTACGCTCCAAGTGTAGATACTTGTCCCAATTAAATAAAACTGGTTATAATACTGTTATTATTTCACTACGAGACAGTCTGCCATTCTATTCGCATGACAACACGTTATACATGTAAATATATCTTACTATTTTCGTCAGAGAACGTGACGACGGCGGTATCGCTGTCTTCAAACTCCAGTGGATAAACTATATTAGTCACATCACCACCGCCATTTTGTTTTTCCTGGAAGTAGGCTCTGAGACGAGCAGCCGTGGCGTTTCTTGGGATGTTGCTGGCAACAATGCACCTGCTGAGCATTACTGTTTACATACGCTATCGTACCTTCCCGTATGTAAGCTGTATGGCACTGAAATACAATATATATAACGGTATACGTAAACAACAGGATAACACATATGCTTCAATGTTCCATTCTTACGATAAGGCCACGGAAAACTGTATATAGGTCAGACTGAGTAATGTGTTTACCGTGATGTCGGCGCCCGTTCAAGGTTCAAATGTTCAAACGTCGCTGAGGCCAAAAGCACCCGGAAGTGCCGCTCAAAATATCCAAAGTACCAGTCAGACCCAGGCAAATAACCAAAGTATCTCGTCACAGAATTGAAAAACGTACGATCGAAACAGCAATCTCGTGGCTAAGGTTCTGCAAGCGCCAGTGAAGCGTGCCGTTTTATCAAATGACAAGCTATGGAATGTGGTATTCATTCTGCGTGGCCGAGAAAATAATGACAGCAAAGCTGGCATATCCACTTACGTAGCATTGCAACGCTGACACGCCGAGGTGTACAGTGTTCTTGTAACCTCATTCACGAAACGTCAACATACTCGGAGAATTTACGTTTTTCTCAACCAAACACTATTTCCCACCTACCTCGCCGTCTCATCCAGCGAAGAATTACAACTATCACAGTTGTAGGCGACCAACAAATTGGAATAACTTGATAACACTTCGAACACTGCGCAAAATAACGAATGTACGTTGACGGAAGCACGTCTGTAGTGTGTTTGCAGTCATACTAAAACATGACGTCATGGTGACCTCATTTCAGAGTTCACAAGGTGAAGATACGCCACCGCAGGCTAGAAAAAAATGATAATTATTTATTATAATATAATACAAAAGTATCGATCTTCGACTTAATGGGAAACCAATCACAACTCGTGTTCATATCAACTAGAACCGGGGACATACGTAGCATTCTTCGTACAGTATATACATGAAGTATCAGCTTACGTCCCTCGTTTATGCTATCCATTAATGGGGCACACATTTGAAATTATGTGGTGGCTGCAAGAATTTTGTCCTTATATTTTTTTTTCTTCAATGTACCTCCATTTTTCCTGCGGCATGCAATTGCCCGGGGGCACTGGCCTTTCACTTTGGTAGGGGTGTGCGGCCGGGAAAAAAAACCAAAACCCCAT